TTTGGACTGTCATTGGTCTGAATTTGGTGTCTAGAATCTAGAAGTTTCTCCTCTTATAGTTTTTTATTCTTTTTATTTAAGGACATCACCATCCTCTCGTGCCCCGATTTTGTTCCTACGAAAGCCAGCTGCATGCACTTCAACACTATAGTCCCCCCAACCCCGGAACCATTGGTTATCCACTTGAAATTGTCTAATGATGGCGTGGGGTCATATCGTTGCAAAATCACAAACATTTAGGTTTACAGTTATTAACTTTAATTCTTTTAGGATATTATTTAATTTATTTTGATTTTATTTTTATTAAAAAGATTACAACATATATTAGATAAAAATTTTATTTAAATGATATTTAATTAGAAATAGATATAAAATTTTATCAATAAATTATTATATCTCTATTTATTAAAAAAAATTAAATTTATTAAAATTGAACGAAAGGAGTAAATAAAATATTAAGAGGCCTATGTGCTCAATATGAAAGACATTGCCCTTGAAGAGATGAACAAGTTACCCAGTTCACAACTTGATTTTCTTCCCGAGAAACAAATAAAGAGAACACAAATTTAGAATAGAGACTGCAACACTATCTAATATTCATAATAATAAATTTAGCCTCCCATAGAAGAGGTTTATTAAGGTTGGGTTATGTTGTTGTTGTACCACAAATGTGGAGGCTTGAGATTATTCGGTTAAGATTAGCTTCTTTGGCAGACAAGGATTTGGAATCCTGTGGTTCAAATGAGAGTGGAATGAATCGGGCATGGTATAAGGTGTCGGGTGAAAAAAGTGGATTTTGGGCACCACATTTGGATCAATGACAGTTTGTATACCTATACGGATTGTCATTGGTCTGAATATGGTGTCTAGAATCTAGAGGCTTCTCCTTTTACACTTTTTTATTCTTTTTGTTTAAGGATATCACCACCCTCCTATGCCCTGATTTTGTTCCTACAAAAGCTTGTTGCGTGCACTTCAACACTACAGTCCCCCTAACCTCGAAACCATCGATTGTCCACCTGAAATTGTCTAACGGTGACATGGGGTCACATTGTTGCAAAATCATAAATGCATAGGTGTATGGTTGTTAACTTTAAGGTTGGGCTATATTGTTGTGAAACCACAAACATGGAGACTTGAGATTATTTGGTTAAGGTTAGCTTCTTTAGCATGCAAGCATTTA